GTTAAAACAAGTGAACACAGAGTGTAACTTAGATGAGATTACATATCTCTCTCTCTCTCTCTCTCTCTCTCTCTCTCTCTCTCTCTCTCTCTCGTCTCTTGTATTTACTAACAGGTCATTTACAAATCTCTTCACGTTTGTGGTACCAGGTTTAGTAGTTGAAATATTGTATACTGAATGATAGATCATACTTGTCCAACGCGTAGGTGCTCTAGGGCTCTATGTTGCAATACGTATCACAGTATTTAGGATGCATACACCCAATACACTCAGGATGTATTTATTCGATTTCATTAACAAGGCAATTTATCACAATACAAAGCTATATAGCCACTGTTGGACTACATTATAAAGTTAATCATAATAAACGTGGACATTATGGACATAATAACGTTCATTAAGTGGATTGATAACGTAAAAGTTGGCATTGGTCTCCGACCAACCGCGAAATAAAATCCGCTCAAATTTTAATCGCTACCCGTAATTCTAAACAATTCTCCCCGCGCCTTGCACACCATTCGAGTATCGAAACGCGAGATGAGGACGCGATGCCGCGCATCATGCAGCAAGGTATTGCGATCATCGTCATCTTCGTCACCTGAACGAGTTACTGTGACACTGGCATGCAGAATCCTAAGCTGGGTTTACACGACTATCATCTTTTTGTCGAAAAGTTGATGAGCTGATAATCTTTTCAACTAGCCGACCACAAGTCGTCAGTGTAAACGTAAAATGTTCACCTGTTGCTCGGCCTGCGCCGGTGTCAGCCGGTTGTGATCGGGAGCGGGCGGCGGGCCGGGCGCGACGGGAACGCTGGGTGCCTGCGGATGCTGCATGCATATCTCCAGCAGCCTGCGCAGCGTGTCTGTTATACACGCGTAGCAGTCCGACCTGTAACACAATGTTATATACATCACTAAGCCAATCTAGCTGCAAGTCTAAACAACATTATACACACATTACATACATAACCAAATTACACAGCGCTACGCTAAGAAATAATCAGCAGGAAAAATCGCGGCAATAACCAAATTTGCGCGCGTTACACGCGCCATTATATTCCACGCGAGATGCTTTGAAGCTACATGTCACGCATAAATGCCTCTGGGTAACAAGTTAATTACATACACTACGCAACGATTCCCCCACAAAGAGCTTCGTGTATGAAGATTCCCCGCGGCACCCGAGGCATTTCTTTACTGTTCGTTGTCAAAGTTCCGCCAGCCGGCTCGTCTTACGCAGATAATATCTGACATCGTCGCGATTTAGTCTCGTGATTATCGGTTACGAGACGCGCAGGCCGGGGATACGTACCTGATGGCGAATGCCTCCATGCCCTGCTGGTCGTCGGGCGGCTCTCCGTTCTTGTAGTAGTGCAGCGCGAGGCCGCGCGGGTCTCGCTTCGTAGCCGCCGTCAGGCAGATGTCGACGACGCCCGCGAAGAAGTGAACTGCAAGGGGTTTTACATGTTTATTGTTTTTAAACGGCTAATAAGGAATGCGTGATTAGACGAGACTTTTCATCTTGTAGATCTACTCTCGCTCTCTCTCTCTCTCTCTCTCTCTCTCTCTCTCTCTCTCTCTCTCTCTCTCTCTCTCCCTCTCTCTCTCTCTCTTTCTCTCTCTCCCACCTCTCCCTCTCCATCCCTCTCTTTCACACACACGCTCATACAAGTGACAGACGCACCTTTTTTTTTTTTATAATGTCCTTTATTTCCAGAAACACATATGTACATTACATTATATTATACGTTATACAGAATATCTACAACACTGTGATGGTAACATAGATCAGTGATGGTGAAAACAGGTAAATGACATAAACAGTTTT